GTGATTCCAAACATAAATGGTGAAGACCCAGTCAGAAATTGGTACGTGAAATCAAAAGACGTAAAGACAGACCTCTGACGTATGTCCTGGCATTCTCAGCTGGGACCACAGAGACTACAAAACACAGACCTAGAGAAAATGCTGTCCTTTACACAGCTACCCAAGTCAACAAAGGGTAAAGACAGATGGCTCTAAAGCCTTCAAATCTTAAATTCTGTGGCTCAGTTTATACAACTGAAAATACAGCGAATCAGTTTTGTGAATGGGAGTTTAATTACGCTCTTAGAACTGAGCCATAAACTTCTCCCTCAAAGCCGGTCCCTTTCTGCACCAGGCGGGGCTGCGATGCAGGGGAACACCCATTGCCGCGGAGAACAGCAGCGCTGCAAACCCTCGGCCTCCGGCCCTCGGTGCCACTGCTGATCAGGCTCCCTCCACCCCGCACCCCTCCCACAGAGAACGGGACACCGAACGGACTGGTGTTTACTAGCGTTTCTCCCATCAATGAAAGATTGCTGTGGTTAGCCTTTTAGCTCATTCTCTTCATCCAATCTTCTTGTTCTCATTAGGTCTTTTTTTTAAAAAAAAGGAACCAAGGAGAAATGGCTGTTTTATTTAAAAGAAGCATAAAACAATATTTGTTTATATAATAAATAAAATTTACACTGAGGGGGGGGAAAAAACCCTATACATAAAAATACTGAAACAAAATTCCAATCGTATGAGAGAACTGGTCATTTTGGCCTTTGAATTTCTATCCCGCCATCTCCCTCTGACAAGATACCACGGGGTGATGGCAGTTGAGTCAGGGAGGCGGCGTGGCTCTGCGGAGAGCACATCTGGATACCGAGATGTTTAACATGGTAACTGCCATGTGAGTTGTATTTAACTCACGCTAGTTTTGAGCCCAGGGCCTCGTGAAGCATACGTAACTCACACGTCTCTACACCGGGAGCCGAGTGAACTATTTTTCAAGTTGCATATAACTCACACACAGAAAACAATAAAAAATAACAAATTTTTCATTCAATTAGAAAGGATCATTTTGTTTTCAAAGTTTTTATTCTATTTTTGTAATAAAACACTGTGGCCCCAAGGAAAAAAAATTTTTTTTCTGGTGGGGCAGTCAATGTGTTAAAGATTTATTTTTGTAATATCAATTTTACATGTACATATTTACAATTAATTTCAGCTATAGTATAAGTCATTTGTGCCACCTAAGGAAAAAAATGCTTAATTGTCACAACATCTTACAGGAGGACCTATACTGAAACAGTATTATATAAACAAAGGAACTATTTCTTTTTTCTATCAGATCTTCAAGTCAGACCTTAATACAATTTTATTACTTCTTAGAATATTCAGAGTAGGATTCTTTGGTTTTGCTGCTGTACTATTAGAGATCTGATACCATTCTGTAACTGCTGTTTTTAATCCATATTTGGGAAGGCAACAAGGTAGAGTCTAGTTATAGATTGTCGGGAGTGGGTACATTTTTGGTGTATAGAACCTGTTTACTTCCTGTTTTTATTTGAAAAATGACACAAAATTTTTTTTTATTTATCTCAGAAAATTAAAGTTTATGAAATACATACGTACATATTTTGGGTTAAGAGGTGGGTAGGGAGAAAAGTTTTCGTTTTCTTCTCCTTTAACTTTGGTGGGCCTTCTGGGGCCGCCGATTGGCTCTTGGCGGGCTGTCTCAAGGTACTTTCTGCTTAGAGTCTGACCTTGGGATGCAGAAATCTATTGGTCTGCCCCTTGTTCCTTGGTGCCACTTGAGCAGAGGGTCACAGGATTGGTGTTGACAAGTGTACTAGTTTAATTTCTTGTAAAGAGCTTTTGGATGTCTTTACTCCTTGAATTTGTTAAGGCGACTATTTTTTTTAAATACCTATAATGTTGATGCCTGACAGCATCCTGGGAGATTCTTTTCACTTTTAATTGGGAACCCCTTTGCAGAGAATGCCATTAGGATCATTGTCATCAGAGAACCCCCTGGGAGTGCCTCCATTTTGATGCGTAGCAGATTTTTGCTGTGGGGTCTCTTGACTGTGTTGTTCCCAGGAATGTTGAGTGTTCTGGTTGTGGTCATTTGCACTTAGCTGCAAGCCCACCCCTAGGCAATGTTGGTTATCAGCGAGTTGCCACTGTTCAGACTGGGAGTGCATCCATAATATCTTTCTCTTGTTTGCTAGGCAGAAGATGGTGTTAGTGATTGCGAGCTGCTGGCTGGCACCCTTGCAGAGCAGGAGTGAGTGAGTGCGCTCAGCTTTCCGGTCCTGTGAGTCTGATGCCTTTCCTCCATGTTTCGGCATCACTGCCAAACATACGCATCGAAACCCTTCATGATCATCAGTTTGTCAGATGGTTATATTGTTGCAAAGAGTCTGTCCAGGTCCTTTGTATCTTTTTTTCTTTTCTGTCACCTTAGTGTATGTCCATTGTGATGGGGCTATAGGCACCGATGGTGGTGGAAGAAGGCACATACATATCACAGCAAGACTAGAGATTTTGGGTTTAGTGAATGATTACAAACTCTGCAAAAGGAAAACTTTTCCAGAGCGCCAGTGTCGTCAGCCCAGTGCTGCGTGAGCTGTTGTTCAGCAAACGGACTTTGGCCCGGTCCTGTGGTGCCACGTGTGTTTCTCAACAGTTTACTCGTTTTTCTTGTGGAGTGCTTCCTAGCATGGTGTGCCGTTGCCATCTGCCACACCTGCATTACAGGGGAAGAGGAGGTTTTCCATTTGCTTCCACAGCGCATCGCAGAAGTGTAAGCCCTTAAAACGCAACAGACCAGTAGGTTTGGTTGGTAGAAGGCAGGCAGTCTCCAGAGCACCTCTTCCACCGTCCTCTTCTCCACTGGGAGTGAGGGCTGCAGCCCCGAGCAGGACCACATGCATGCCCGAGGCACAGGCAGAGAACGCTGTGGAGAGGAGACCCTACCTGGGTGCGTAGAACTGTGGAATTGGGACACCCCTGCCAGCAGCAGACTTAAGTTGTGTGACTTCTAACAGAGAAGGGTGACACAGAGCCATCTGACCTGTTCTATTTGTGACTAGCGCTTGTACCTCACAACTGGGACCAAAAGATCTATTGTACATCTTCCTTAAGCAGCATCTTTCTGTATCTTCATCTACCTTGTTTGCTATCGTTGAGTGAGGCCCTTCTATTTGCTGTATTTTGTTTAAGTCCCAGTTCAGTGTCATGGCTAGAAATTCTTTGTGTACTAAAGAGCACCTCACTGTTAGAGTCCTTGTGGTAAGGATTTATTTTATCAGGAGGTATGTGTGACCACATACGTGGCTGACAGTGGTCACGCATCATCCTTTAATTTGAACATTTAGATTCCACTCCACTGGGATAGCAGGCACTTTCCTCCCTTTGCAGAGAAGTACTTTGCACATTCCCACTGTAGTTAAGTTACCACATGGAGGCTAGTTTTGGATATGTAAGCTGTGGTCCCCAACCCCTGGGCCGTGGACTGGTACCGGTCCGTGGCCTGTTAGGAGCCAGGCTGCAGCTGCTGGCACCGCTGCCGGAGCTCCGCCTCCCCCGCCCCCACCCCCAGGCTGCGGAAAAATGGTCTTCCATGAAACCAGTCCCTGGTGCCAAAAGGTTGGGGACCACTGCTGGAAGGTATCCTTACAGTCCCAGGCCCTCTGTTCCTTTCCATAGAAACTGCCCACTTGTAGTTCTGGAATGGAAACAGATAAAGATGGGAATGAGAAAGTAGGCTCTTAATTGCAAATATAAGCGGAATGAGCTTAATCTGTCCATATTTGGGTTTATGTGCTCTTTACTGGTTCCCTTTTGAAATGTTATCTTTTGGTTGGTTACTAGTTAGGGGCATTCTGCTAGGAGAGTCACGTCTCAGAAACCCAAGGTAAGAAGGATACTGGGTAGATAAAACTGTTTTCCCACCAACTGAGTAGATGAATATATCCTCTGATTTGGAGAGAATCTCCAGAGCCCCAACATTTATGATGAGCTAAACTTAATTCCAGCATGTTTAGGTACAAGAAAAAAATTTATCAGTGGCATCAAATTGTTGGAAAAATCATTTTTATTAAGGAAACCTGATTCCTAAGCATGGGAGTCAAACCCTTTAAACTTTATTGAGTTAAGTTATGGGCTTTAGGGTCAACAATTATGATTTTGATAATTATCAAAAATGTGAAGCAAGTAATTGAGTTATAGATTTGTATTTATCCCATGAAATGATTGTAGATACTACATAACTGATTTTGCATTAGGGTGAGCACTCAAGTGACATGAACCTTTCTCACAGCGAGTTTATATATTACCGAAATGACCAAGCCTTCCGTTGTATCTGACGACCTCCCATCTCCCTCCCCAGTCTTGACTCAGGGTTTTTATGGTGTGTGATATATGAGCTGTTTACTGATTTGTTGTTGAAGTAAAATACCAAATTTGGATTACTGGAATTTATTATTTGGGGGCATCTGGCTCATCCTTGTTTTTGTTTGTTAAACAGGAGAAGGACCAGCGCAGCCTAGACATAAACACTGCCAAGTGCATGTTGGGACTGTTATTAGGAAAAATCTGGCCCCTTTTTCCAGTTTTTCACCAATTCTTAGAGGTACCAAATTGTTGTTTTATGAAATGTGTGTTTGCTTGCTTAGAACTACCAAATATACTTTATTTAACCATTTTATGTACTTTTTTATTTGTTGTACTTTTCTGCCTGTAGGAATTTTGGTGACATAATTGCTGTTCAGTCAGCAGCTACCTGTCTTCTTGGAGTGCATCTCTATGCGTTTAATGTCGTGTTGCATCATTCCACGTACAAATGCATCAGAAACAGCCACAGCTCTGTCCTTCCCTCCTTTCTTGTCCCTATTTAAAAGCTTCACTTTTGTTTAGATTTCCTGCTCTTTATAACAGTAGAAAAATAAGATTTACTTTCTTTTGACTTTAGATGAATTTCCACTTTTATTAAGCAAAGGTTAAAAAACAGCCATCTGCCTTCTTACTAAAACTAGGTTGTAATCTACTTAGTTACAATCTACCTTGCTTATCTACTCTCATCTCTAAGTAGCATGAGGACCAGTCTAAGTATCAGGCAAACTGACCATATCCCGTTCAGTTTAAATTGTTTTCAGATCTGTATCAGAAACAATCCAGCACCTCACTCCATCATTGTTGGTTGTTTGCTTTAAGTATTGATGATCAGAAATTTTGAACTGATTATTAGGAGCTGGTTTTGTTGAAATGTCATCCTGCAGGGCCTGGTAGTATCTGGGATGTAAGTTTGAGTTACTCGGGTTGTCATATATGGCATCCTCCTTGCCCTCCTGCCCCAAACCCCTTAAAAAAAAAAACGTCCTTTGCTTGTAAGGACGAGGATGTTGGGTCTTTGAGGAAATCCTGGACCTTACCCTGACTCCAGCTTCACTCTTGAAATAATCTTTCTTACAGTTTACTTTGTGTAATAGTCCAGAAAAACTTACATGATTCTTTGAGGACTGCTATTAAAAGTTCTTTTAACATTACTAACAGGGCCTCCTCGAGAAAGTTATAAAAACTGGTTTCAAGTATAAGAAGTGTTTGTTTACCTGATAACCCGTATCTACATCTGATCTGTTCTGATTGCCCTGATACCCCCATGAGATGAGTTAGCACCATTTGGAAAATCAGTGGAAGTAGTTCCTTGTTCTCAGAGAATGTAACAGGACTTGCGCCTGAATGCAAAGGGCTCTTACACTCGGAAGACCTGGCCGTGAGGAAATTCAGCTGCACGATGCCAGGCGCATCATCAGCTGTTTCAAGACTGGCCTTTGCTTCTCGTTGCTTAGAAAGTTAGACTTGTAGTCTGTGTTTTGTTCCCTCTCTGACATTAGTTTGCGGTTTTCTTTTCAAAGGAGATAGCAATCCTTCCACTTCAGCTTTCCTTGCATTTGCGTCCTCAAAACCATCGGCTCAACTCTCTTTGCTTTTTATGTACTTGTATTGTTTTACTGTGTTCCCGGTTTTAGTGGTGAGGATTTGAAAGTTGTTGGTTCTGGATTTCATCTTTAAATCTTTATACGAGGATACCGTATTTTCAGATATATGTACGGCACATTTCTTGTCTAAGAGGAATAGAAAAACTACTTCACAGCTCTTCTAGTTTCTTTTATGATCAGATTCAAGTTGTGAATTATTAGAACAGCAATTTTCTTCAGTGACAAGAGCACCTAGGTTTGAGACCACTCGCGGCGCTTAGCGGTTCTTATGACGTGACTTCTCCTGCATGTGCTCTAAGATGACAGCTTGGCCATGGGCAGTGCTGATTATGTCCGGGATCATTAATGGGAGCTCCTCTTTAGTTAGCACTTACTTTGTGCCAAGCACTGCATGAAGTGCTTTACATAAATTATGTAAATTATCTCTTTTAATCCTTGCAACATCTCCCCATTTTATATAAAAGGTATTATCTGCATTTTATATAAAAGGACTGTGGCCGTCTAGAAGCTTCACTTCTGGGGATACAAAATCATGTTTCTTTGATGTGCTTGCCATTTTGTGTTGAGCTGCAATGAAAATTGCCATCTTAAATTCTACTCTTGGTCTCCCTCACCGTCCTCTGAGATCGGTGCTTAACACAGCTCAAAGGGAAAGAGTTAGCCTTACGTGAACTGTATTTAGTTGATTTATACAGCAATTGAAACCATCGCATTCGTTCGTTTTAAGTGTCAGTAATTCTTATTACTTTTCCCTCCATCAGCAATCAAAATACAAAGTTATTAATAAAGACCAGTGGTGCAATGTCCTAGAGTTTAGCAGAACAATTAACCTTGACCTCGGCAACTATGATGAAGACGGCGCGTGTAAGTACTGGCGCCTCTCTTGCCCCATCGCGTGCGTTTGTCCGCAGCCTCGCCGGGAAAAGCCTCCGAGCCACGTTGTTTTCTCTCTCCCTCTCTCCAGGGCCGGTTTTGTTGGACGAGTTTGTGGAGTGGTATAAAGACAAACAGATGTCCTAGGACTGTCTGCACAGCAGCGAGAGAGTCACTGTTACCAGTTATGTCACCCATTAGCCATAAATTGCTGTTCGTATCCAAGCGCATGCTGCTTTTCTTGCACTGTCTCCCTTGCGCAGGGACGTGTCGGTGTTTGCTATTGAGTGGGCCAGCTCTGCTTGCTGTGTAGCATTGTTCTCTCGGAGGGCTGCTTCGCAGTGTGTATTTACACTACAGATTGGTGAATTTGCCAACGTCCTCACTGTGATGATGTGTATATTGCTGTTTAAATTTTGTATATGTGTATAAAAAGAAAAAGCTTCACCTAGAGATTATTTCTTCAAAAATGTATTGTAAAAATAATTTTGTGGCGTATTTCTAGTCCCTTTTTTTCGAATGAACCAGTTATCCTCTGTTCGGTCTCAAATGTAGCATTTCAGCAAACAAGACAAAACAGCTGTGACCTGAGTAAACGTTGCCAGAATAACCTTACTGTCCGAGAGGCCGACTTCTGGAAGGAGGTGGGAGTCCTAACTTCTCAGAGGCAAATGCCAAACATAATTTGGTTTACTCAACAATATCAGCATGAAAGTTATAATTATTTGAACATATAGACACGTAACATGCCACAAATCATTCCTACCATGCAAGGGTATAGTTTTTTGCTTTTTAATGTTAAAACTATAGTAGCTTGAATATAGGTACAAATGAACAAATTCAAATTGCACCTTTTTTTTAAAATGGGGTTTAAATTCCTGTAAACATTCTTTCTTTGATGGTTTTTCTCTTTTTCTATTTCCCTTTTGCATTCTTCTAGCCAGTGTTTGGTCTGCTGGTGCTCTCTGTGCCACTCTACATAGATTCACTTTGCCTCCTTGTGAAAACCTCATGGTTTGCTGGCAATTTATAAATGCAGAGCACTTTTAGTTGTGGCTTGAATTTTTAGTTCAGCTTTTATGGTGTCTAATTTCTAGTTTTTTGAGAAAAGAACCATACTACGAGTGAGAGGTGTTTTGTTCTAGTTTGTTTTCCTTGTTCGTTTCTGTCACGCTGGGCTTTTCCTTGCAGCATGTCCATTGCGGGCAGTGGACACGTGACCACCAGCGTCGAGATGGCCCAGTTCTCGCTGGGACCTGTCTTGGAGGGGCCACTTGTCATTACCCGAGTCATTTGTACAGAGGGGAATAGCCATTATTTATGTGGATGAGGAAATGAGAGTAAAGAGGATGGTGTTTTTAGGTTTCTGTTTTATGTCTTTTTTCTTTTTTGGCCTTGCCCTTCTTGAGGAAACAGAGAGAGAACATGTTTTACCCCAACTTCCTGGTGCTATTGAATGATACTGATTCAGTCCCTAAAGTTCTGTGAAACCACAACAGTCTAATGATTTGACCAAGTGAAAAGCTAATGGTGCATTTGAACGAGTGGATGCTGTAGTTGTCAGCAAGATCCTTGATTGAGCATGTGATGATTGGAAGAAGTTTGGATTTTTTGGAAATCTGGCCAAGAAGTCTTTTAGATGACATGTGAACCTTTAAGTGGCATTAAATGAGCAAAGCACACAGACAATGCTACTCTTGATCACTGTTACGGTTTCTTTGCGAACAGTGTTCAGATTTCCATATTATTTTTTCCCTGACTGAACCACCAAAGACAGAAATTTTGTATGTATATACAGTGTGTGTGCATATGCAAAATCATGGTATGGTAGAATGCAACTACTTTTTTTTTCCTACCAAATAGAAAGATTTGGTTTGCTGTGAAATAAACCAGAAGTTTTAAAAACTCTGTAGTGATTAAGCATACTTAACCATTCCTTGTTTGTAGACTGACTTTTAACCTTACAAATTAATACCAGTTTGCATAAATTAATACCTGAAAAGAACAGAAAATGTCGATGGCAAGCGACAGCTAGCGAGACGAATGTGACGGATGTATGTGTATTGCAGAGGCGCCTGGCCGTGGGGAGGTTCAGATCTGTGGAGAAGTGATTCATTTGTAAAAGTACCCCCAGAAAGTTAAAAAATCACACTTTAAAGGCAACGGTTTTAAATTTGATCAACTATAGTTTTGTTTAAAGCAAATATAAATCATAGGTAAAATTATTTTAAATGTTATGTTAGAATCTGGAACATTTTTTCAACACGAAGCACAGTTTATCCTCATATGAAAGAATTGTTACAAGGGGGAGACGTTACATTTCATCCACAGTGAACATTTTGGTGACAGTAGAAGAACTCGAGTAAAAGCTGTTTCATGGTGTGTGATATGAAAATAAGTATTCCAAAGGGATAATCTCGCATATTTAGAAAACTCCAAATAATCCTTCAACTGCCTTGAAAAATAAACCTCTGTGACTACTGATGGCAGATTGCTTGCCCTTGGTTTTCTTGATTTTATGTAGTTGTTTTTAACGGGAGAAAAAAGGGTTGGACGGAATAATAAGATACATTTTCTTAAGAATTTCCCTAAGTTACGCAAAACCGAACCATCACTGACAGCTTATCTACTGGCTAATGTTAAGTAAATCAGGGCGCCTTCTTCTGGTTTTTCTTTAGTACCGAAGTCTACACCGTTTCTCCCTCTCCGTTGTGTTTTGAACTCGACACTGCGATACTCCGTCGTGATGGAATACAACTCCCAGATGTTCACTGCTGCGCTAGGTCAGAAATTGCACTGTTCAATTTGCCACGAGCATCCACTGTAATATTACGTGCACCTTTTCTGAAGCATGAACTCTGAATTACGTTTTTATACATCTGACTAGACAAACCTCTAGATTCTGGTTTAACAACAGATTTCTTTCGCCTCTCGGTCTCTATTTTAACAGTGCTTTTGAAGTTTATCCAGAAAGCTTTAAAAGTTAGTTTGTGCCCTTGGATTTTGTTCTTACAACTGCTAAAATACCTCTGTAAGCCTTATCCTTTATTCTTTCCAGTGTTGTATCATAAATGTATAGAATTCATTGACCAACTAAAATGTTGGGTGTCTGTAAATGAGACCAAAATGTGGGTTGCTTTTTTTCATAAACTGATTTCTATTGGGGGTTACTGTTAAATGAACAGCAGCTAACCTATAACTGTGAATGCTTCGTGTCGTCAGTACCTGCATTACATCCATAAAGTGTGCAAGTCCTGTGACTCCAGCTTAACTAAAACAATGTCACGCCACCTAACTCGAGTACAGCAAACTGGTTTTAGGTTTTAATGGACTCGATGTAAAACGATATCCCATAAATAAAAAGTATTTGTGTTTGGTTTCAGAACTGATTTGTAAATTCTTTCTTCTCTGGCTTTCTCTTCAAAACCATTTAAAGTACTTTTTGTTTGTTTTCTGTTTTTTCCCAACTTTTTCTATTGAAAATTTTCAAGGCTACGGAAAAAAAAATGCAAGAATAATGTAATGAACACGCTTATACCTATCACTTAGATTTTCCAGTTGCTACTATTATACCACATCTCCTGCCCCACCGTGTGTGTGTGTGTGTGTGTGTGTGTGTGGACTTCTTGCTCTCTAGACGTACTGTTTTTCTAAATGATTTGAGAGGAAATTACATTATGACACTTGACAGCTCATATTTGAGAATTCGAACATTGTCCTATAACCACAATACAAGGAGCACACTCAAGTTGAACAGTGATACAATACTCTTATATTATCCAATATACCGCCCGGGTTAAAATCTCCCCATCTGTACCCATAATAGCCTTGATAGCTATTTTTAATCCAGGGCTAAGCATTTCATTTAATTGTCATACTACTTTAGTTTCTCTTAATCTAGAACACTTCCAGATACAGCATTAAAAATGTTTTGATTAAAGATAGTACAAACACTCCTCAGCCAAATAGTGATTTTTAAAAATTTACTACCATGTATTGTGTATTTCTAAACATTGAGCTAATAATTGAGTGCACCAAGAACCAGGCAGAAATGACCATTTTTACTGTCCCCAGGGCTACCACCCGGTTGGTCTGCTTATCAGCATACAGATCAGCCCTGGCTGCAACTCCCTGAAGTTGTCAAACGCTAGAGCGTGAGCTTCCTGAGAGCAGGACCTCCGGCCCCTCATGGGTGGCCAGAAAACGTGGGGGAGGAAGCAAGTCACAAAGGTCCCTCTCTGGGCAAAGAGGTGTCAGGACATAAGAAACCTCACGTAAAGATTAGAAAACCCAGGAAGAGCTGATGCTGACTTCATGATTTTCAGAAGCTTGAAAGCAAGAGCGGAAGTAGAAGACAAGATTCCTAAGAAACAGAGTCCAGAACCCAGGTGCACACTATTTAAATTGGTGACATAGATGGTTATTTCAACTGTGATTTGGGCCAAAAGCTGAGGATCAAACCAAGAAAATCTCTATTCTTCCAGACACCCAGAAAGAAGAGGGGACAGTAGGTGGAGGTAAAGGACAAAGCTTAATCCCAAGTAGATGAAAAGGAGCGGGACATGGCAACCCGCAGCAGGCGGTAGAAAATAATGAAGCACGTTCTCCAGTGACGGAAGAGTGTGTTCTGCTGGACAATACTGGTAGTCACGTGTACAGTAACAGGAAATGAAATAAACGTTCTCCAGCAATGGAATTGGAACAAGGTCGACTAGGGAAGGAAAAAAATCACTGATGCTTGCTCAAGACAAACCCAGTTGGTGTGCATTGCAGACATACCTAGGAAGGAAGAAAGTTACAGGAAGGTCTCTCTGAAGGACATCTTTAAGCCCTTTGAAATAATGGGATAGAGAAAAAATGAAAAACATTATCCACAGAAAAGAAGATGATCAGGTCCACCCCAGGGCTGCAGAAGTGAGGAGGACAATTGCCTCTTTAGCAGTTTCCTTGATTTGTCTGCATCTCCGTGAAGGCAGGACATGCTTTTTCCATGGCTGCTGCCACGTGTTGCATCATACCGGAACGACTCATCGGAACGTCACCTGCAGATCCTTGCGTGTAGTGTGACTTCTACGCAGAAGATTAGAGAAAAGCTTTCAGGATTCCTTTAGAAAAGAATTGCCTTTGGAACTTTGTTACAGCTAGAAAGGAAAAAAACCAACCCGATCATATGAGGAAGGGATACATCAAACTTTCTGGCCCTCTCTGCCCTTTCTAAGCTTGTAAGGCAGAAGATAATCCAAAACAGGGCACGTTCACCACTTTTGGCACATTCAGCAGAAAAATGTTTAGTTTTTCCCCTGCCCGAATTTGTTTCTTGCATGTATCTCCAATTGCCGTAACAGAAAATAAAATCATCCCATGTATAGAAGTACTCGCTTAGAAATCATGGTGAGTAAGTGGGCTACGCTGAGAATAATGGAAACTGAAAAACAAAAATTGACTATGGTAATTAAGTGGAAATTTTTTTAAACATCATTTAAAATGTAAAATCTCTTCTCCAGAGGAAATGTATTCGGTCCTTTGAAAGAAATTCCTTTGCAATCACTCTCTGAAGAATACGGACTGTGAAGAATCCTGGCTATGAGAAAGTAAGCTGAAGAGGGTTTGTTTTTTTGT